AGCAGCTGAGCACTTAACCATTGCTTCACAGGGCACCTACTTTTTCCCATAATTAGACTGAAATAATGATAAATCCTCTTCTATGTAATTTCTTCTTGGTAAAATTGGAATCATGATAAACCCTAATCTTGAGTTTTATTTAATTTATAACAAACGGGAATACATTCATTCATTTGCATTATGAGTTAATACATGACCTTCTATGGGATAATCTCCTCAAATAACTCTCTTTGTCCTATAAATTTTCTTAGTTCCCACCTCCTCCAACACTTCCTCCAAACCCATAGCTCCTAGACCAGGCATCCTCAAACTACGGGCCCGCAAGCCACATGGGGCCTGCTGAGGACATTTATCCGGCCCGCCGGTTGTTTTTGCCCCGTTCAGTTTCTTACTGCAAAATAAGATATGTGCAGTGTGCATAGGAATTTGTTCATACTTTTTTAAAAACTATATTCCGGCCCTCCAATGGGTCTGAGGGACAGTGAACTGGCCCCCTGTTTAAAAAGTTTGAGGACCCCTATATCTAGACCATCAAAGGCATGAACTGTATCTTCAGAATGTATTCCATTATACCTATTTGTTTATGTGATTTTTTTGTTCTCCAAATGACTAGAGATCCCTTGAACTGATACTCCCAGCAGATACTGTCAAGAATAAATGCTAAGTTCTGCCTCATTCTGAAGATCGCTTCCATAGGCACTTCTGTACAGAACTTACAAAGAGGTGGCCAAACTGGTTCTATGACTATCACGTAATCACTCTAGCCTTTGTAAGAGAAAACTAGAAAGGAGATTTTTGTTAGTTAGCATCTTTGAAAGCGTGTTGTAAATTTTCTCTCCTAATGAGGAAAGAAAGGGGGTTGTTTAGCTCCTCCCTTACCTGAGAGAATCCAAGTCCTGGGCCTCTGAGTGCTGACTTAGAAGCGTTTTTAAGACCAGCATCTTGGCTACTGAACTAAAGGTACATGTAGGTCCAACCCAATGAGAGTTCTAAGCAGAATCTGCCATGTACCCTTTGAGCAGTGGTTCTCAACCCGTGGTTCGCAACCCCCTTGGGGGTTGAACGACCCTTTCACAGAGGTCGCCCGATTCATAGCAGTAGCAAAATGTCAGTTATGAAGTAGCAATGAAAATGATTTTATGGTTGGGGGGTCACCACAACATGAGGAACTGCATGAAAGGGTCGCGGCATTAAGAAGGGGGAGAACCACTGCCCTAGAGTTTGGCAGCCTGTGACAACACAGAGATTGGTGCTTGCCTCTTGCCAAAAGAATTCTGAAGGCAGGAAGCTTGCTTGAGCAGCAAATACAGGGCACCGTACCTGTTGTTTGGCATGGCTATGCCATGGGCATCTCTCATGGGCAAAGTGAACATCCTAGAAGGCAAAAGAAGTTTGAGCCTTTTGCATGTACCCTGCAGAAGGGCCTAACATTGAGTGAGGGGTCCCAGCAGTAAGACGCTGTGATTGCCCCCCAAGAGGCAGGGGCTAAGAAGGGGCTAGAAAAGGTTGAATTCATAGCTAAGAACTATGCAGTGAAGAATGTCCTGAAGCATCATAGTCACACAATGGAGAAAACTGGTACTTGGACACTAGCCACCTACAAGGCATTGACAACCAAGAGAGGACAATTAGCAATATCAAAAATAAGAGACTAGGATCTGAGGAGAGAGCAGCCAGACAGAGGAAGGAGAATCGCCTGTATCTCGAGATGCCCTGGTAAAGCTTCTTAGTGTGGCCCTGTGAAGAACACATAAAAGAAAGCAAGAAAAAGGGGCCCTTTTTGGTTTTTTGCGTGTCCGAAGAGGATAAAGTCATCGTAGGACAGGGAATGGGAGTAAAGCAAAATATTTCCTACCTGTAGCCCCACCTGCTTTATCTCTGTAGGAGAAAAAAAAATGTGGCTAGCAAGATGGGGAAGGAGAAGTTGAAACTAAGTGAACAGAAAGCAAGATGCGTTAAAACCCTTCCTGAATGTTAAGCTTCTCATGGGTGTCAGATCCCAACTGGGAGAGAGAGCTCTAACTTTAAATCAAGTTCTGAGTTTTGATTATTTTATGGAACTGGACATGCCAAAGGAAGCGGATTGTTCCCCAATGCCTAGTCTACTCCCCATGCCCCCAAGTCACTGCATTTTTAGCTAAGGTACAAGACAGCTTAGAACGAGTCCACATTCCCCAGTCTCTCTTGCAGGTAGATATTCTGGATCATGGGTGTCAACAGAGTGATGTTAAAAATTCCTGGGCCCTGCCCTTAAAAGAAATGGGTAGGCCTTCTCCTTCCTGATGACTGGAATGTGATGTGTTATCAAACCAATCTAGGCCATGTAGCCTAGGACAATATTCTCATAATGATGGAGTAGAGCTATGGATCAGGTCATTAGCTTTTGCCATGCAAGAAACAATGTAAACTTCTCAGTACCATACAACAATAAGAACTTATTTCTCATTCATGATTTGCAAGTCAGTTTGCAGAACTGTTTGTTATGAAGCTCTGAACTTGAAGTAAGTTTTCTACAAATGTTTTAACATGCTGGTCCCCACTAGGTGGGGCGTGTAGTAGTCGCTTTTCTGAGCACATGCAGCTTCTAAAATCCGTGGCTCTCCACACTGGAACCACTCTGCTTTAGGACTTTCAAGTTTCAGCTCAAATTCCCATTCTCGCCCCAGTCAGGGGGTAGAAGGAGTGAAGGGATGTCAGAAGGTCCCAGAGGGACAGCAATAGTTCCTTCTCAGTTTGTAGTGTTCTGTACACTTACGGACTTAGCCTCTTGAGACATCAATTCCAGCAGGCTGTTGCTCCTTTCTCAGGGATCTGAGTTTCAGCTCTAACCCCCCTTCTATAAGTGCCCGAACTGTGATAATCTCAACTACTTTCCTTTCTTGAGCCAGCTCCAGACATCATGTGGCTTCATGTGGTTGATATCTCTGTGATACATTAAGCCTACATGAAAGAAGCAGACCAGCCTGCATGATCCAAGGGTTGTAAATGATAAAATCCAAATTTGAAGAAGGGAATTGTATCAGAGCTTAAATTGTGAACACTGGGTTTACAGAGCCTCTGGATGACAGTGGAAGCCCCAAATCAACATGCAGGGTCCCCAGTTAGATTAAGCCTCCTGTGAATCATTTCTCACCATGTTCAAGGGATGTGAATGGCCTTGGAATCAGATAGAAAGCATTGTGAACTCGATTGTGGAAGATATAGTTAGGATAAAAAGTAAAATCTTATCATCTGATTTCCCTTTTGACCCATTCTAAAGTTGTTTCAATTTTAATATTTTCTGCTTTCGGAATGAAAAATTTGTTTTGTCTAGTCATTGTTGATTTTTTTGTTTGTTTGCTTCCTGTCAATGTTTTGTGTGATTTTTTGTATATGAAATCCAGGATAGATCCATAGAGACAGTAACTCGATTGATTAATTGCCTGGGGGCATGGCAAGGGAGGATGGGGGAAGTTGGGGAGCTAACAACGAGTACCAGGAGAAAATGTTCTGAAATTGATTGTAGCGATGATTGCACAAATCTTAATATGATTGAACAATTAAGTTATGGAATATGTGAAGTCTATGCCAATAAAAAGAGCACCCTTTTCAGTTATCTAATGACCAATTATTTATGGTAAATCCTCTAATAAATAACGGTGGCTTGTTTCCTCACTAGACCGTTTATTATAGTCTGTCTGTGAAACTCTCTTCAAGGATTTTCTCTTTGCAATACTTATGACACCCTCCCCCACTCCCCCGTACCTGTCATTTCTCTCTGTACACATTTTCATCACAGAACTTAATGCACTGAACTGTTATCGTGTCCTCCCCACTACCCTCATCCATTTCCATCTCCGCTCAACAGCTCACTGAAGATAGTTTCCTGTGGTCTGTTTCGTCCGATTGGCACATAGGAAACTCTGAACATCACATGTTTGAATGAATGAATGGATGAATGAATACAAAATTGGACACTAAGCCTTATTAGCATGCAATTGTTGAGGTTCATGTAGTTCTAAGATCTGAAATAAAGTTAGATGGTAGTAAACAGGAGGGCTGTAGTTCCTAACTGTAGGCACAGCTCCAAGCACTCAGCAAGCTCTAAATAAATAACGTGAACTGTCATCAAGAGGCAGTTCAGATTTTTTGCAAAGAATACTTGCCCTGGGAGCTTAGTGGTTCTACACGTTGAGCCACAAGGTCAGCAGTTCAAAACCACCAGTGGCTCTGTGGGAGGAAGATGAGGTTTTCTACTCTTGGAAACCCACAGGGGCAGTTCTCCCCCCTGCCCTGTAGTTGAGTCCGCATCAACTCCACCGTAGGAAGAAGGAACAATTTGGAAGACTCCAGAGGATGCAAAAATGTGTTAGCTATTGGAGTTTTTTAAGGAGATCAAGCCTTAAAGGGACGCCTCTCACTTTGTAGCTAGGTCCTGCTAGGTTCTTTCCCAAGTTTCATTCCCAGATCCTCCGCCCCCACTTTCTCCACCCTGTGCCTCTAGTCTAGAGAAAGCAGGTAAAACCCGGAGAACCAGGTCCCTGAGAACCGCTGTTCTGGGCATGCGTAGCCTCCCACCCATGCGCAGTCGCAATAACTGAGCTCCTAGCCATCTCTGCTCATTTTCGAAATGAGGGAGTTTTTGCCTAGAAGCCAACCCAGGCTACCCTAATTTATCACCTTTCTCGTATGTCCCCGCCCTCCCGTCCCGGGAATGGGGTAAGTCTCGCGAGATTGCACTCCGCAGCCCCCAGCGGCGCCATCTTTGTGCCTGGCGAGCGACGGCGCCCGGTGGGAGCCCTGAAGCTTCCGAGTCCGTTGCCAAGCTCTTGCTGAGACCGGATCCAGGAAATACGAGGCGGGCCTCAGTGGGAGGGACGCACTGAGGGAGGAGGGAGGGAAGGGGGCGGCGGCGGCAGCTTGCACCGGATCCGGGCCTCGCGCGACGCGCACCAGAGGGGGGTCGGGCGGGAAAGCGGCGCCGGCCCGGACCCCCCGCGGGAGCAGGCGACCGGCCTGAGGGCGAGGCGGCGGCAGTGGCGGACGGGGCGCTGCGGTCGCCGGGTGAGTGCCCGCGAGGAGGCCCGGCACCTGCCCAAACTGGGGCGTGGGGGCCGGCCCTGGGCTTCGGCGGGGTGGCTGCGCCGGGCGGTGGGCGTGTGCGTGGCTGCGGGCGCCCGGAGGTCCGCCTGGCCCCGGCTGCGGCGGACACCGCTAACTGCGGGGTTGCGGGAGGGCTGCGCCGGGCCTGGCGTGCCCGCGCCCGCCCCGGAGGCCGAGGGGCCAGGGAGTGGCTGGGGGTGCTGGTTGGCCTTCGGACCCCGAACCCAAGGATGTTCTTCCTCCTCCTCTAACCCTGGCCAGGCTTCAAGTCCCAGCAAGGTGTTGGGGAATAAAGATTCGCAGCCCCAAGGCAGGGTTGGTGGTTGCGGGGGTCAAGAGATGTACGGAAGGTTAGTAATACTTGTTCTGAAGGAGGTTGGCGAGTGGCTGTTGGCAGGTGTTGAGCAAAGGGAAAATATTGGCCACATTCATTTAAAGAATATGACGGAAGCAACCTTGTGAAGTCCAACAACGGATAAGAGTTATACCTGGTCCGAGTCCCCTAGGTAGTTTAGTTCTGTGTGTCAATTCTTAAACTGCAGAGAAGCGGGGTGGGGGGTGGGGGTGGGGTGTTTGTGTGTGTGTGTTGGGGTGGGGGGAGAGGAGCAGCAGACGGGACAAAAAGATGGAGTATGAACTAAATTGCATAGAAAAGCAAAAGTTCATACTGTTGATGTGTTCAAATAGAAAGCCTTTTTGTCTCTATTGAAACATTTATTTAAATTTCTTTAGAAATGTTGCCACCTTTGGTACAGACAGGGCTTGTCATTTCTAGATGATGTTTGTCTACCAAATTTTAATTTTGGCATGCAGTGTGTTTCTTTCAGGGCTTTAAAAATACATCTGGTGGAAGGATTTCGTTTTGTTTTGCTTTTTTGCCTTTGCTTTACAAATGTTTTGCAAAAGTCGAATTGCACTCATGAAAGGTCTTTTTAGGTAAAAGTTTAATTTTTCACTGGGTTAATTGATTATGGGCATCCTAATCCGTGGAAGTTTGTGGTGGTAGTCTTTTTAGGAAAAGATTGCCTGCATGTGTCCAAAGAACAAACCCATAGCTGTAGAGTCCATTCTGATTCAGTGTGCCATATGAAAGGAACTAGTTCAATGTAGCCTTTGCCCCCATAGCTGCCTGAAATTGTGGTTCCATCAAAGGAAAGTTACGCTTCAGTGAGGGCAAAAATTCAATATGCACTTTTTGTCTTTACATCTAAGTTTTCTTCCACATACTTGTCTGACATGGTCTTTCCTTACTTTTAGAAACCACGCCATATAAAGCATATATTGGGGTGAAGTGAACTAACCTTGACTATAGAGGCACTGGCTGTAATGGTTTTATGTATTTTTGCAGTTGCACCTCATAGTTACCTGGTGCTGAAGATAACGTTATTTCTATAGTACAGATAAGAACACTAGCCCCTTCAGTATTCCTCAGTACCTTTCCTAAGGATGTCATGTAGCTGGTAAATTGCAGCGCTAGAGTTCAAACTCGTGTCTGTTTCTAAAGCGTTTTTTTTTTCCTATTATACTCTGCATAAACTTGATATGCTGACTGATACAAACTTTATGAAAATGGAAATTTTTGTTAAAGAGAAATCTTTCAATTCTGTTGGACATCGTGAAAGTTTTCAGTGTCCTGGGTTCAAGAGAAGCTTGTTAGTTTTTTCCCCCCTCCCTTTTCTGATGTGTTCAGTTTTTAGCCAAAGGTAACATTTTCACATGTAGACCTCTTGTTGATTTGTAAGAATTCTTAATAACTGGTGGTGACCTATCTGAAATTCCTATGCTTTCAGTAAGTTTGCCTCTAGTTTCGGCATGCCCAGGATACTTCAAAGAAAAAGTATTTGGGGTGCTTTGTTTTGTTTGTTTTTTGGTCACCCTGAATGGTATTTCTAGTTGCATTACCAAAGCAATATACTATTTATAGGGTTTGGGTGTTTGCTTTATTATAGCATAAGTATATGCCTCTTCCAGCAAATAGAGTACTTGGTAGCTGATGCTCTTTTTCTTCTTTTACTTAGTACAAGGATTTCAGAGCCAGTTCATGGTTTTGCAGAAAATAGGACATCTATTAAGGGATTTAGGAGTCCTACTGGCATAGTGGCTAAAGCACTTGGCTGGTAAAAAAAAAGTTGCAGATTTGAACCCACCAGCCTCCCTGCAGGAGAAAGATGTGGCAGTCCACTTCTGTAACGATTTTTCTGGCCTGGAAACCCTACTCTACCCTTTACACTCACCATAGATTTGGAATCTACTTTGATGGCAATGAAGTTTTTTGGTGTTAAGGGATTCAGCATAATCTGTTATGGTATTATGGACTCAAAACCTTGCAGATTCTCAGGTACTTTCAAAATGTTAGCGTAACAGCAAGAGCATCTTGCTATTGGATGGCCTATGGTGACTCCAGTCCCCTAGTGGTCTTTGTTATTGCATCTTTGTTATTATTGGTGAGCCTGCCGCCCAGACCTTTGTCTCCCTGGTGTGTGCACAGTCCCCACAACTAAATAGAGTTAAATGGCAAAAATAACCCCGGACATCAGGATTAGAGGATGCCAAAGATCTGATACTCAACCTCCAGTAGGTCATTTGGTTATGTTTCCTATCAAATTAATTATCCCTGGCTGGAAATTCTACATAAGTTATTACCTGGGATTTGTTGTTTTATGAAGTTACAGGCTGGACGAAGACGCCTCATGCCGTGGCATGCACATTAGCATGTGGATGTGTTATGTGAAATCTGGAACTATGCTTTAAATAATACCTCGGAGCCTTGACCAGTGATCTTTTTCAATTGGTCTGAATAAGCACGTTTTAAATTATTCTTGCACTCCCAAGAAAGAGTTAAATATACTTTTTATTTGTGAGGGCAATTACCTGGGGTATCTGGGCTATTGGGAGGGGGGATTAACAAATGATAATATAACTGCATCCAGAAATTATCTTGTATTATTTATTTTTATACCTTCTGTGTGTTGCTGTTGTTAGGGGCTGTCTCGTCAATTCTGGACTCGTAGTACAACAGAGTGAAACACTGCTCTGTCCTGTGCCATCCTCACAATTGCTGTGTTTGAGCCCACCGTTGCAGCCACTGTCCCAGTCTACCTCATTGAGGGTCTTCCTCTTTTTCTATGATCTTGTACTTGACCAATCGTGATATTATTCTCCAGGGACTGTCCAGATTATGTGAGACAGTCTTACCATTTTCACTCCCAAGGACCATTCTGACTGCATTTCTTCCAAGACAGATTCGTTCGTTCTTCTGGTATTCCATGGTGTATTCAAGGTTCTTCATCTTCGCCATACTTCAAAAGCATTGGTTCTTTTTGAGTCTTCCTTTTGCAGAAGGAATAAGGAAGAACTGTGTAATAAACCTCAAGTTATTGCCATGGCCAAAAATAGTCACTTGCCTAAAAAACGAAATGGGTATGATGAAATATTTGGAGCTGAATTATCCTACATATTTAAGAACATTTATTATAGTTTAATTTGCTGGCAGCTGTGTCAATTATTTTTGTTTGACTCTGCAGCTTCCTATGGCCCCCTTCAAATTTCTGACCTTACTTTCCTTCCCTCTCGCTTCTTTCAAATGCTCTCTCTTGCATTACCTGGAGTCTTCCCTTCTTTGGCACTGAAGTCTTTGGCAGGGTGGCAGCTGACTAGCAGGGTAACCAGCACCTTTAACTCCATTTCCCTTCTCCAAATTTCTGTGCTCTAAGTCAAGAAAGTAGGTAAGTGCTTGCCTACTAACTCATAGATTGGCAGTTCGAACCCAGCAGCAACTTCGTGGGAGAAAGATGTGGCAATCGGCTTCTGTAAAAATTATAGCCTTGGAAATTCTATGGGGCAGTTCAGCTCTTTCATATAAGATTCGACTTACAGCTGTGGTTTGTTTTTTGTTAAAGCAGCCAAGAGGGGTCCTGACAAAACCTTGCAGCAGTCCACTCAATTCTTCCTTGAAAAGGAGGATGAGGGTAGTCAGAGGTGAGGGAGGCGGTGTCAAGACCTTTGTCATGGCTTCTTTTCGGATGAATTCCTGAATTTAAGCACATGTTTTGAAATAAAAATTTTTAAGTTTAGTTCATTTTAGCTTAATGCTTGTTGCTAAAGCAGATGTTACATTGTTGAAGGAACAGTTTTGGTTTGTAACATAAAAGGTACAGCTTGTTCCTACCATTTGTTGCTGCTGTTTTGAAACTTTTTTCATAGGTATTGGAATTCTTGGGGTTGTTTTACCTTGGTTTAATTAGTTATAAATGTTAAGAAGTTAAGGACTAAATGTTATTGCCCCATCTCCCCACCTTGCAGCCACCAATAAACCCTTGTCTCTGTATTGGTCTGTTTTGGATATTTCATATAAGTGAGATCATATACTGTTTGTCCTTTTGTAAATCTACAGCACAGTTATCTACTCCTCCCGCCCTTCTCCTCTTTCCCCGTCACACCAGTTCGATATGTTAGGTAGAAAGTACTGTGCCTCTTTGATATATGAGCAAAACTGGATTATGTGAGGAACTGCAATATCATTATTAGAATGTGTTTAATGATCTTGACATCTATAAGTTGAGAATCTGCAGCAGGAACTTCACTTTTTAAATAGTTCATTTGTGAGACTTAATTCCCTAGAAATCAGCACCATTTTCCTATAGAAATTATGTTACATATGGTATTCAGATCCCTGGCCAGCACGGTTCTGAATTTGAGGAAAGAGAGAACTATGAAAGTGAACTCCTGTGTATAACAGTGTTTCAACAAGAACATGCACTGAAAGATTGGGAGGGAGGGAAATGACGTTTCCAAACTCCCTCCCACCTTCCCTCTTTAAGAAGAGGTGGGAGGATCATATTCCTTCCGGATCTTAATAAAGACTCCCAGACCAAGGGGAGAGGTCTTTCCTTGGAGCGCATGGCCAGGTGAGTAGTGGGGAAAAGGCGGTTTGTGTTGTGGTTAAGTGCATGCGCTCTCCA